TTCCTTAAAATGAGAGCCACTGGGTTATATTTTTGGAAAATTGGTTGTTTATTTCTAAGTATCAGATCAAATACAGCATTAAATTAACGGTGATTTATCTGACTGAAATAAGTCTACTTTGGTAGCTTGGGGCTGAGCTGCAAAAATAAATGTGAGTGTTGACCTGAAATTTTTATTTTTTTAAATAAGTAAACCAACTATTTAAAATGTTGCTTTATGTTAAAAACAGGACTTCTTTTGAATAAATGTAACACACCTAAAAGTGAGTGTCATTTGATAATAATTGTGGGTGTAATGAAAATATTTTTAAAAATCAGGTTAAAAATACTGTTTCGATGATTTCTGTGGCTCTTTTGAATAGTTGTGTAAGATGAATTCTTTCCAAAACTAATTTAGAAAATGTAATTTTGAGTGATTATGCCTTATGAAAAAGTTTAAAAGTTTAAAGTTGTTTTAAAACAATTCTAACTTTTAAGCATATACAAATAACAAATAATGATTTTTTAAAAAACAATCACATCAAATCAGAAAGGTTGTTAAACATACACTATTCTGAGAGAGGGGACTTACTGTACACATATCCAGCATCCTCCTCATTTCATAAAGTCTTGGGCCAACCAATTTTGATTCCTTGTTGGAGAACAGAAAATTTACTGTCTGAGTAATTCTGTAATGGCCCAAACACTTAGATATTATACTGGTGTTTTGGAGTGAAATAATTATCACCTTTCTAGAGGCATTCCTACTGACTTCCTAGAGAACATGATCAGTTACGGGAGGCTTTATCGCCAACAATCTCATTTCCAAAAGTCCTGAGCCTGAAGTTCTTCTCAATGGCCTGGCATCCTAGGAATTCACTTTATCTGTTGGGCAGAGACATTTCAGACCCATGGAACATATGATGGGAATTTAGTTTTATGTGTCCCAAAGATATTTAATTCTCCTTGGAGGTTTTACTTGATAATAGCTATGCCCCAGAAAACCATCTTGTTTAACCAATGTGATAAGTTGACAATGTAGTTTTTCTCTCTGATTATAATGTACTCTGTGTAGTCAATACACTAGTACCATGTGAGTGTAATTTCCTCTTTTATTTTATCTCCAATGCACTGTATTATAAATAAACAGTTAAAAAAAACACCAAACAAATCTGTTGCATCTCCTTTTAAGATTGTACCACTGTAGACACTTGTTCTAGTAAAGTAGAATTGGGCGCATTTGATTGCATTTAAATTTTTCATGCTTCAGCAGTTTGGCTGGGAGCACAGTAAAGAAAAATCCCATGAGCGAGGATAGTTTAGAATAATAGAACTTGATTTTGTGTATTATAGCGGCAACATTTGCGCTGCTTTAGTTAGGGTTGTGTCAGCACTTCCATTATAAACCCCTGTTTTCAGGGGGTATAACTAGGGAGATTTTTTAAAAATACAAATTAAAAAAACAATTCTTTTGAATGATTTTTAAGTTATTATAGTGCAAAAATAAAACAAAGTAAAGTCACATAGAAATTGACCACTTCCACAAGGATTTTGGCTTTATTTTGCTTATTAGTTGTACATGGCAGGAGTAGTTTATGGTAAGGTGCTATTCGAATACATTGAGGGTGAAAATTTTTGTAATGGAAAATTACTTAAATGACTATGAAAATAAGAGTAAGCATCCCTTGTGACATTTTAAAACATTAAAGCAAGGGTGTATATGATCTATGAGTTTCTAAAGGAGAGTAGTTATGATGCAGTGGTTATAGTAAAGGTAAGTATCTAGTCAAGTATCTTTGTAGTTTCTAGAATAAAGTTTAGTTGGTCTTGTAAAATGTTTTAAAGAGGAAAGCTAAAATAAAGAAATGAATGAGATGTAATCAGCAAATTGAAGGGTTATTTAATAAAGTAATTGTATAAAAACCCAGTATATCAAATCTAGTAATCAGTAAATCTAAAGTTTATTTAATAAATTATGCATTAAAAATATATTTTTTGCACATTTTAATTTAAGAAAACAACAAAACCACCACCCAAAACAAAAAACAAAGAGACTAGCAGTAAAAAAACAAACCTGAAGAAAAAGCCAGCAGTTTATCAAAAGGACATGTTCAAGGAAAACACCTTGCTGAAAGAACAAAAATCATCTTTTTCTCTGCTGACAATGGTTTTGAGAACTGTAATAAAGTAAAGGGAAGAAATTAAATAAAATATGTTTTGGAAAAGTATTCTTGGAACAAAAACATGTTCAATGTTAAGTATGCATTCCTTGGTTGTTCTGACCTTCCCCCTTTCCCTTTTCTCCTAATGATGTTGTGAACTGAAGATGAACAGTCTGATTTAATATGGCTTTTTTTTTTTTTTTGCCAGTCTATCGTTTATTTGCAACCTTGATACGTATTTGTATTTGTAGGTGCAAAACAAAAGACAAATCGTGTGATGTTATAAATAGGTAGCTTTCCTGAATGGTCACTGAAGGAATCACCAGAAGACTGTTGATGAAGTAGAGGTGAAGCCTTTCCTCACTAATTGTATTCAGCGTGTAATTTCTAAACTTCCCTCTGAATTTTGATTTTCAATTAACACTCCCCATTTGAAGATAATTTTCTATTTAATGTAATTGCAGGAAATAATTTATTGGCTGATTAAGACTGAGGACCCAGCCTTCCTTAAGAAAACACTCTAACAAACCTGCCTTTAAACTCAACTCATAGCTTTGGACAGATTTAGTCTATTTTTACAGCTGCATGGTTGTATTTAATTAGGATTGTGCACTATTGTTCACTGGTGCAGTTGTAGTTGAGATTATTCTTAAGAGACTTTTCATTTTGGTTTTTGTCATGATTAATTTATACTGAAGCAATAATCACAGATATTGCTATTGGAAGGAGCCAATTCACTTTATAATAGGATGTTTGTTTGGGGAGTTAAAGTCACTCTGAGTTTTGGATTATGACTTTCAATTGTTTTTAACTGTTTATCAAACTGGAAATAAACTCATTGTTTTGTTTTTAATATGAGTGATTATCAATACTGTGATGATCTGAACTGTGAAAACACTTTTGTTTGCAGCAAGCATTAAACTGCAGAACAGTTATAATTTGTCTGGTTTTACTGTAGTAGTTATGGGACCAGTAAAGTAAGTTCTACAGTGATTCTTGTACACTAGGAGACATCCCTTGGTTATCGTTTTCTGTAATTACATATACATTTGTCCATTTCTTAGTATTGCTATTAGTCAGTATTTTGATATAGTACATTTTAGAACATTTAATTTATTTCTCCTTAGTGAAAATATAGGCATTATTCTGTGCTCCTGTCTCCCCATTTTATTTTCTAGTATCAAGTCTAATAGATAAAATTTTTATTATTTGTAGAATGATTATTATGAGTAGGTATCAGCATTTTAATATGTTTCAAAGCACTTCAAAAGACTGTAATACTTTTATTTAGAACTATGCATAATTAGATTAGCTGATCTTATATTAATTTTTTTCACTGTAGGATACTAAATCTGAGCCCCCTCATTAATTGTGAGAAATTTAGCATTAGCTGTTAAATCCTATGTGAAACATGGGCTGCTACATAAAAACTACTGTTTAAATTGGAATTAACTTAATTATTTTTCTTTACACTTGATATTTCCTTCACTGCAATATTCATGAAAGCATGTGACAGATTTGTAAATTTAACTGTTAATCTCAGATTTCTAGACCCTTTAATCAGTATTTATTTGTCTGTAGAAACAGTACTAGCAAGTTAATGATTTGCTAATTTGAAAAATGCTCATGTGGTTTCCTATGTTAACTGATTTGTGCATTTTTTAAAAAATGGTATGAAATCAATTAATGTTAAAGAGCAATTAAGGTGTAGATTTTATTCCTTTCATTACACAGCAGTTTTGGAGCTAAAGATGCAATAAACTAAAAACAGCCTAAAGTTTGGAAAAAATACTCAATTGCTTCTTCTGTTAAGTTATACACTTTTAGTGGTTCTATTTCTAATCATTTTGCTAAGAAATTTTTCTTGATAAAGTAATATTCTAAAAGTTTTTACATTCTCTTTAATAATCATGATTTTTAAATTTTATTGAAAGCATATAATGCAGATCTTATTATGCAGAGTGTAGTTGATGTTTATTTGTGAGTACATTAATGAATATTTAGTATTGTTTTGGAGGTTTTAAACAATATGTATAGTAGGCATATTACTGTTTTCATAATGAATGCTTTGGATTTTGACTTTACACTCTGACATAAAATAGATGAATAGCTATTTCAGATACTCAATTCAAATGCTACAGAATTACCTTAAGACTAATCTAACAGTTAGCCTCTCAATTAATATGTCACCCAAAAGTTAAGTTACGGTAGTTGACACATCTTGAAGGTCTTTAGAAAAGCTTTAGATAATGCTTAGTAGTGTTAGTCTTAGCTCTTGTAATACAAGGTGTAAACTAAGAAGTCAACACTAGATTTACTTAGGACTTCCATTGTGTGTTATTTACTCTCCTGATTGTATTTTCCTATATAGACTTCATTTGTTCCTACATAAGAAGAGAAATCGGAGAAATTTAGATATTTGTGCTTTCAACTCATTCTGCAGACTGGTTCATTTGCCAGGTCATTCATTCAATGTTTTCATTGATAGCCATCAACCTAATTACTCTCAAGAAGCTTATAATTCAGTTGGAAGAACTGGAAGGACAAATATACATATACATACACTGTACATTATGAAAACTTATTCCACAAAAATTTCATTTGTGGAATGAGTTTTGTGGATTGTTAAGAGAGAAATTATGCAGCAATTACTGGGAAGAGGATTGCTAGGTGAAAAGCAAAGAAGAAAAGCTAGACAGATAAGCTAAGAGATCTTTTACAATGATTTAGTGTAGACATTAAGTTATCTCTAAAGTTAAATAACTTTTCTTTTTTCCTGAATTAGTCAAATCCAAGGGATAGTTTACTCTTTTGCCATTGACAGCTCTTTTTGATCCATACTATTTTTCTTCTTCTGCAGAAGAATGTCTTCCAAGCAAGCCACCTCTCCATTTGCCTGCGCAGCAGATGGAGAGGAAGCGATGACCCAGGATTTAACCTCAAGGGAAAAGGAAGAGGGCAGTGATCAACACATGGCCTCCCATCTGCCTCTGCACCCCATAATGCACAACAAACCTCACTCTGAGGAGCTACCAACACTTGTCAATACCATTCAACAAGATGCTGACTGGGACAGTGTTCTGTCATCTCAGCAAAGAATGGTAAGCTTTTAAAATCTGCCCACTGTTACTTAGTCTGCTCTTTAGTATGTCCTCATAAATAGGTGTTTTAGAGAAGCTCAAAATACATGGCATTAGAGTTACTTGTCTTTAGGTCATGAAATAACTTCCTGGCATATATCACTAATATACTATTAACTGGGAAAACTTGAAAAATGCTTGTGATTTAGTTTACGTCCATTATTAAGTCAGCTTTGTTTTTTTTTTTTTTTTTTTTTTTTTTTTGGGACGGAGCCTCAAGCTATCCCCCTGGGTAGAGTGCCATGGCATCATGCTCACAGCAATCTCCAACTCCTGGGCTCAAGCGAGTCTCCTGCCTCAGCCTCCCAAGCAGCTGGGGCTATAGGTGCCCGCCACAACACCTGCCATTTTTTGGTTGCAGCCATCATTGTTGTTTGGCGGGCCCGGGCTGGGGATTTGAACCCGCCACCCTAGGTGTATGTGGCTGGCGCCTTAGCCGCTTGAGCCACAGGCACAGAGCCAAGTCAGCTTTGTTAAAAGAATTTTTTTTTTTTTTTTTGTGGGAGGTGGTTGATTATCGTATTCTCTGAATCCTTGAATTTAAGCTGGTGATCTTGGTAATATCACAAAAGGTGTAATCAAGTAAAGTGTAACCATGTGTTAATATTGAAAATTAAATTAAGCAAGTATGTCTATGTAAATGAAGATGTATGGTCAATATATCTTCAGTGAGGAAGTGCAAGTATTTATTATTTTTAATGATTATTCTTGATTTATAATAAAGCTCTTATCACTTAAGTATCTATATGTTAATTTCAAAAAAAAAAGACATTCAAAGCTCCTGACTATCATTCAATCAGCCTGAAGTTTTCTCTAAATGTAGAAATAACATCAAGTAAATCACAGTGTATTAGCCAGTTTTCCCATGTGAAATTCCATCTCTAACCATCAAAACAGATATCATAGTAAGTGACGTTATCTTGTTTAAAGCAAGAATATTCAATTTTTTAGCATCTAGAAGAGCCTAAAACCATAATATAATTTATTAGATCTGAACTTTGAAAACCTGTTTTTCATTTTTTAACTTTTGACTAACCAGATGTTAATGAAAAATATTTTACATGGGCAATGAGGAAATTTTTATTCCATAATAAAAATAAGGTAATATTTAAAATGCTTTTACCACTAATAACACATTTAAATTCTTACTCAATGCTTAATGTTTCAGTGACATTGAATAGTTTTTCTTTATCAGATGATTTTGCAGAAACAGCCAGTGCTCTGGAGCATTAGGTGAGAACTAGAGAATTGGAAGATAGTTTCTAGACTAACTTTAGTTTTAAAGATATCAACATTTTACAGTTAAAACTACTGGAAGATTTATTTTTCTTAGGTGGGGAGAAGAAAGGTGTAATAAAGCAAGTCTCTTTTTCTGATTGAACATAAATTCATTTTGTACCTTAAGTTAGTAGTTTGAGTGAAACTGATTTAATGCAAACTTTAATGAATGCTTATTTCATACTTTAAAATAAATATGAAGTCCAAATGGGTATTTATGAACTCTATATTCAGTCACTGCCACTTGCTTAAAGGTAACATAGTGGAGTTATGTTTGTTTATTTATTTATTTATTTTTGAGAAAGAATCTCACTTTGTCACCCTTGGTAGAGTGCTGTGGCATCATTAGCTCACAGCAACCTCAAATTCTTGGGCTCAAGTGATTCTTTTGCCTCAGCCTCTCAAGTAGCTGGGATTATGGGCTCCCATCACAACATCTGGCTATTTTTAGAGACGGGGGTCTCACTCTGTCTCAGGCTGGTCTTGAACTCCTGAGCTCAAGCAATCCACTGACCTCAGGCTCTCAGAGTGCTAGGATTACTGGCATGAGCCACTGCACCCAGCCCTTAGTTATATTTAATTTTTTTCAACAAATATTTATTGAGCATCTTCTATATGTCAAGTGTTGTACTAGGTGCTAACTGCCTAGTGGCAAACAGACATGATTCATGCCTTCATGGAGTTTATAGTCTAAAAAAGGAAATAGAAATGAACTAAACATACACACAAATAAATGTGTAATTAAAATCATGATGGATGCTATGAACAAGAACAATCCTAGGTGAGAACATGATAGAGAAAACCTAATTTAGAATAGATGGTTAGGAATTCTCTCTCTGAACTGAGAATGATAGAAGAGTGGAAAAAGATGTAAAACCACAGAAGGAACAGCATGTATAAAGTATTTGAGGTGAGAAAATTATAGCTTAATTGAAGAAAATAAAAGATGGTCTGTGTGCTTGGAGTGTAATAAGTGAGAATGCAATACATCATTAGATATGGCTGGAGAGACCGGAAGGAGCTATATCAAACAGGATCTTGGAGCTGGCATTAGGGAGGTGAGATTTGATCTAAGTGCACTGGAAAGCATTTGAAAGGGCTTAAGAACATTCCAAACAGATAGTTCTGACCGTGGTATAATGAATAGGTCAGAGAGGGAAAAGAGTGAAAGGAGGACAATCCAGTGGGAATCTATTTCAGAAGTGAGAGATGAGTGATATGGATGCGTGGAGAGGAAGAGAGAAAGGATGTGTTCAAGATGTATTTTAGCTTTTATGCCAAATATAGTCAGACAAATAAAAATAACTAGACTGAAAAATACGGATAGAGGAAGAAATCATACAATTCAAATTTTATTTCTCTGAGAACACTGTACTTGTTTTTCCTAATAAAATTTTGTTTGTTTCTTAGTAAGTGCCAGGTGGCTTTGGTAAGTTATTCTCAGACTTCGATGATGTAAGATTTTGTCAAACAATAGATATTAATAATTTGCTTACCAAATTTATATTAAATGTGGTTTATGGTAGTATAAAATAGTTTAAAGTAATAATATGTTATATATCAGTGTAAAAGAAATCATACTTGCTAGAAATGTTTTCAAACTTTCACTTTCTTTTGATATTAAGCATTGCTTTCCACTGGAGCCTTTGTGTATTCTGAATGTCTGGAAGCCAAAATATTTTGTTTTAACTCCCACTCTATAGTATTTCCCAGCTGTGTACTTATATGGTGTAATAAAAGGATTTAACAAATGGGAAATAGCAGCTGCATTTGGAAATTCCCTTTGTGCTTCCTTTTCACTGAGTAGATTCAATAATGTGTAACAACTGTAACATCAGACCTGTAATGACTTATACTGCAAGTATCGTATCACCATCCAAGTTTTCTTTAAGGAGGAAAAACAATAGAAGGATTTTAGGTTTCTGGGCAGACCTGTAAACCGACAGAGAAGGGGGGGGGATATATTGGAATAGGAGGACTGTGATTAATGTAAAATTTTGTAAACATTTTATCTCATTCTACTTTAAAATAAATATGAAATCAAAAAGGAATATTATGAAATAAAGTGAAACTTGCAGTTCTCTTTAATGGATCATATTCTTTGCTTACTATAATTGAATTCCATATAATACAGGGTGTCTCAAAGCTGCCACTGAGGTCACCCTACATAGGGAAAATGGGAAATTGTAGCTAAATATGCCTTTATTTACAAAATAATCATGACAAAAGTTTACAAAGATGTGACCCACATGGAGATAGTATTTTGTAAACTTCTGTCACGAATATTTTGTGAGTAAAGGCACATTTAGCTATAATTTCCCATTTTCACGATGTACGAAAACTTTGGAGATGACTTTTGGGACACTCTGTAATTGTGGAGAAATAAAATTTAGAAGAAAATCTAAAAAAAAAATCCAACAATAGAAGTGTTATCCTCACCTATTCCATTTCCATTGTTACTTTCTGTGATGGCTCTCATTGCCCTCATTCATGAACAGTTAGAAACAGCCCTGTAAGTTTCTTATCTCCTGTGTTCAGGAAGGGTTTTACTTTGATACTACACCTATCAAAACCACAGGGAAACTTTTCTGTTGAGAGAGGGTAAAGACAAGGCAAAGAAGTTCTGCTAATTCCCACTTCATAATTAGAAAGAAATTCTTAAAATGTTAAAATTCTGATTATTTCAAGATGTTACAGCAGCAGAGTAAGAGAGCACACAGTTTCAAACAAAAAAAGAATTTGTTATGGCATAAGCAAAGAAGAATAGAAGTATTAGAGGAGGGAATTCAGGGGCCAATTTGAGATAAAAAATGTTAGACTCTGATTTTAATTATAATTACTTATATCACAGACACCAACATGTTCAGTTTTAAATATACTGTGCTGTGTTAATTGGTGATATCCCTTTGAAGGTTGAAAAGTTCATGTAAATAAGAATTCACCATCCTTCTTTATGTATATCCCCTGCCATTTTCATCATGGTGCCAGTGTGCCAATACCTCTTTTGCAGAGGGATATTGACATGTCCACTAAAATGTGTTTTTGTTCTCATCAAGATTGTCTCATGAGGCTGGAATAAATTCACATAATCTTCTCATGGAAAAATGTGTAGTATATCATTCTTTTTAATGTTAATAAGCATGGAGGAACATTTCTGTGGTAATGCTTAGGACTTGTATGTAATATTCTATGTGGTGATAATCTGCTAAAGAATGCAACAGATAAACTTACATCTTGCTAAGTGACCTTGTCACAAATTACCTAGTTTTTTTGGTGAAAAATATGCATACAGCTACTTGTTGTACATCAAATGAATAATGGATATTTGCATGTTGTTTTGAGCCTTTCCCCCCCTTACTTTTTTCTTCTTTTTTTGCAGTTTTTGGCTGGAGCTGGGTTTGAACCCACCAACTCTGGCATATGGGGCCGGCACCCTACTCCTTTGAGCCACAGGCACCACCCTCTCCCTTACTTTTTTTACATGTACTTTTGCTTTAGAGTGTAATTTAGAGAGGCATTATTGCCATCACGGTTTACCGGAGGATATAGTGCATACTAAGTTCCAGGCACAGGGACTTGTAAATAATACCGATAACATCCCTTTTTATCATGGCACTTAGAGCCTAATAGTATGGCAGACAGTAAAGAAGTCTCACAGAGTAGACAGTTTCAGACAATGGAAA